CATTCCTACATTTGTCAAAATATGGACACAAACTTTTACATTAGTAATATCCAATTAGAAGTATATTTATATCTGCTGTAACCATAGAATTTCGAAATTAGACGGTAATTTTATAAAAATTCTAAGATACATGTAAAAACATGTATTTCACACATATAGATATCAAAAATCTAAATTTAAATTCTTCAAACAGATATTTTGAACATGAAACATTTTGAGCCTTCAGTTTAGTAAATGACGAACGTCAGATACGAATTTTCATTCCTATTGCATATACCTCCTTTGGCGTTATGCGATATTAGTGATATCTTTATATATATATATCATCATCATATCTGCTGAACATAAGTCTCCTACTTGGGGGATTTTGCCAGTAGTTGACACGCTTGGCAGGCGGATTGGTAACTGCAGTTAGGCTTTAGAGATGTTTTAAGAACTGCTGCCCATTTCTCCCCTTCCCTTAGTCGCCTCTTACGACACTCACAGTAAAAGAAGGGGTGGCTTGTTCTATCTCAGGACCTTACGGTTTTTATATATACCATAATGGATTGTGCAGTAATCTTAATAATGGTTTGCAAATTCAAAATTGTCCGACCTCAATATAAACTGTCCACACCTTTCATCCCTTATATTCTCAAATTCTTTCTTATTACTCCTCTCTTGCTTGTAAATGATGTACTGCAAATATTGGATTTTAAAATTTTAGTAGCCGATTGATTTCAGTAAATGACGGTTTTCAGCTGCTGTTGCATTCAGCTGAACAACAGACTTATCTTTTCATAATACTTGCGTAGATAATTAAGATTAGCGTAAATATTTAATATCGCAACTGTATTAGAGGGTGATGACACCTGAATAGGCCTATAGTAGAACAAGTTTCGGTGACAGCCATGTAATTTTATTGTTTCGTGAACCAGATCGAAATGTTGGAACAACCGTTAGATGTGAATGTTCCGATAGAGGAAATGGCTGTTAGTTTTATTGGTGCCTATCGATAATGTTGTCGGTGTAGAGGTGAAAACAATGGAGAATTACTAACACGTTATTCAATCTGTACATTCATATACATATTTGTAATATATGTATTCTACTCTACTATTAACCCATGTTGTAAAATTATATATTGGCAAAGGTCTCCTCAGTGGCGGATTTACTAGCAGGCTACGTAGGTTAGAGACTAGGGCGATAATTTTTTCATACTATTATTGTAAACAAACATACGGTCCGTCTGATGATAAACGGGGTTACCGTAGCCTATAGACAAAAGTAAGAAACCTTAATACGATCTTTTTGAAAAACCTCATGGTGTAGTCTCTAGAGAAGGCAGGTAGGAAGATCATTCTAATTTTTGGTGGTGCTGTTCATGACTATATACGTCGGTTACATTTTCTATTAGGAGGGCCGTTAGCATGTTTACCACTTTGAGTCGCATAAAAATAGAAAAATATATAAAAATATAAAAAAAATCTCCTAATTTATGCAAGTCAAGTCTCGAATGAGTTATGGTTAATTTATAAAATTAGTAGAATTTACAACTAATTTCTTTAATCAGGACACGTATACTTGTTTTATATTTACCTTTTGAATATTCCCAACAAGCTTAACTCAACCACATTAATCTTCGAATGTTTCCAAAACTCCTGTCATACCAACTCGAATCGGAGGGAATAAAATATTTGACGGATTTCGCAACAAAACCGAATGGAAATATTTGGTAAGCCCTGTAGTTAGCTCCCCGCTGTTTGTACTTGTTGAAATGTGAAATATTGTTCGTAGGCGGAGGTTCAAATACGGCTTTCAATATACACCTTAGATTGTTCATACATTAGTTATTTACTGTGTTTATTTGAATAATAGATACTTATTCGGAACTTGTCATTATAATCTTAACCTTACTATGCCATAAATTAACTTCAAATCTATTTATGTATGATTGAAATTATTATAATAACAAATATTCAAAATGATTTGGATTATATAATGTCACATTAAGAAAAGTATCTATTTTTTATTAATACCGCTTAATAATTATATGCTTTGTTGTGTGGTCTTGGTATAGAAAGGGCTATCCTTTCCAGTGTCATTGTAAGAGGCATCTAAGGAAACTTAATAGTTGAGGGTCAACCTGCCTGCCAAGAGTGGCAAGTACTGGCAAAACCCCCCTTATTAGGGAGGCCTGAGTTCAGCAGTGGACAGTTAATAGCTGATATGATGACTATATATTTACTTATTCTCATACTTATTTATAATAACTGCAAATCTTGGTTAATACTTAGATATTATTAGGTCAACGCGACGCTATGCACCTAATGCATGGATTATGAAACTACTTACATAGTTGTAATACAACTACCAGTATTCATTATGACCGGAACATACTCGCGATGGAATTAGCTTCTGTAAATAGTACAAAACAGAGATGCCCGTTGCGTTCGTCTGTTTATGCATCTGTCTGTGGACACAGATTTTTAAGCGACTTCAAAGAGATGATTTTCAATATTTTATATTTCTTTTATTTTGTGAATATGGTTCTTCACTATTTTGAATATTATATCTTCACCATTTTGAACTGATTTCGATATTTCTTTTTGCAATTGTTAATTGTTTATTGCCGAATTGATTTTATGTTAATTTGATCATAAAGCTGTTGATTTTTTTTCTGAAGCTGAAATCTTAACCTATTAAGTAATATGAGTACTTTGAAATTACTTGATTCTTCTTGTTTTTTTACTTTTCGTTACAATTTCATTAAAATTGTTTCAGGTTAATAAAAAAAATTAGAAAAATAGCCATGTCTTGTAACGTTTTCGTTAGGCGTCGTTTATTACTTTTTATCAAATGTCTACTTTATTTTCTATCCTACGATGCATAAAAAATCTAGTTATAAAATCAACACTTATTCCATCCTAGTTACATCAAAATTAATTATAACGACAAAACAACAGACTTTTATAGTACAATAAAGTAAATTGTATCTTTCAACTTTTTACGAAAACATTTTTAATTATCGGAGGTAATGATCAATAAAAGAAATTACCTAATAAATGAAAATTTTTAATATTTAAAATCGTTTCACTAGGTAATACAAGCAATGAATCTTTATTATATATAATTATATGTTCCGTTCAACGGGGAGGGAGTTGTAAAAACCGTATAGCATTTGTGTATAGCCTCAGTAATTATCAGAACAATAATACCCGTATTCCATGATTATTCTTACGTTATTTGAAAGAAAAAGTATCCTATGTATTAATATGAAAACAAAAAAAAAATTAAACATAATGGAATAATAAACATCTTTATAAACAGTTTGTAATCCGTCATATTAGCAAAAAATATCCATATATAATTAAATTAAATTTATTTGATTAAATTTCTAATCTATCACACGCGATCTATCTAAATACTATATTATATTGTATTGTTATATATCTTTATTAACCAATGTAACAGTTTTCGTCACACAATGACAGGTCAATATTTACATTATAATTTTAAATTAATAAAATAAATAATAACAATGATTATAACAATATTTGAAATATAAAAAAAATATAAATTAATTACAGTACATGTCAATATAATAGCAACTATATGTCAATAATGATGACTACGAAATGGGTCATGTATTTATTATAATAATCTTTTTACGGTATTTAAGTGTTTTCTATTAATATCAATATTTATGCAAGCCCATTTACGAACGTACATTACGAACTATACAATTTTACGGAAAATTTATTTAAAAAGTGCACTATGTTTTAAAATTTATCTAATAATCTGTAGCTAATTACCAGGTCTACACTTACTTCTTTAATTATTATTATTTCATGTCATGGAAACCTAACAAGTTAATTTTTTATGTTTTTTATAAATGCGGAAGCAAAAACAAAATATACAAGTAATAAAGATTCTGTTAAATTCTTTCTTTATGGAAAAACTTAAAACGACAATCATGGAACTATTTTAAAAGACCATCAATTTTTAAGAGCAATCTTGAAATATGTTATTAACAACTCCATATAATTGAATGGTCAATCGTAAATGTTCAAAAGCCATTTATGTGTAGGTATGTACACAATAAAATAATTTTATAGTAGTATATTAACTATTAAGAACACAGAAGTAAAAGTAATTTCTGTTGATAATAGACTTGACATTAATATAACGTAAGTGTAATGAATTATTTAGTCATCAATTTTATTTTTCTCAATGACAGAATAATTTTATGTATGCCAGATTAAATCTTAGGTCTTAAATGATTTCTTCCGCGTTTATTCTACTTGTAGGTACTTTTTTAATCAGGAAAGTAATGACAAGGTTAACTTATGTAAAATCGATATAAAACGTAATTAATGTTGGACAGATATAATAAATTTATTTTAATTTTTGCTCAATTTAGAATTTATCCTGTTAATACAAAAAAAAAAATAATAGGTAAAATGACAAATATTGCTAGTTTCGCTCCAACGACGCGGAAAAATATAACGTTTTACTTCAATGAATGTTGCAATTATAAGTTTTTAAAATGAGCATTATTACGTTTATTTCTATTTGAGTTTTACTGTAATATAATTTATTCCACTGTAAATATATATATATTTTCCAAAAAAATATTTTGTCTAATTTAAAGTCTTAATTATAAATTTTTTAAATTAGGGTGTGATGAGGCTGACATATCCTTATAGGATAAAATCCTCTAAATAAAAAAAGTATAAAAAAAAATTATAAATTTCTTCATATCATATGTGTGTTTAATACAAAAATTTGTGATCTATCATTTCACCTTATAATCAGTTCAATGAACATAAATTGATAAGGTTCGATGGAATTAGACACCAGATTACATGTCAGTTATCGACTTAAACGATGTTAATGAACTTTACAAGGCCAAAGCCTTACAAGATAACTCTATAAAACCTTTTAGTTTTATAGATTTCATTTCATTCCGCAACATAATAATGTGATATTGAATTTTACGACAATCGAGCTTTAAACAGGTTAAGTTCGTTGAAGTAATACGAAATAATGAGATAAGTGAAAATTTTGTATTAGAAATAGTCATGTTACAGTTTATCATAACTATGATTATATAAACAGTGATGTTTTGAAAATATGTGTGAAAAATATAAAATGGGACTCGGAAAGTTCGGTTTTAATGTGAAAAAGAACAAAGTGACAGTGGCAGGGGTCAAGACTAAATTTAGTATTAAGAAAACATATAATAAAATACAAAAAAAATTTAAAAAGACTGATTCCGAGAAGAAGGATTCCCGGCCGAAAGAAAAAAGGATATGGTGGCACGAGTACAATAGTTGTAAGATATTTAATATATTTTTTATTCTAGTAAATATTATGTACGGTACTTAAATATTGGTTATAAGTAATACAATCAAACCAACTGATATACAATGTGAATGTAAATAAACGAAGGTATGGGAGGAAATCTAGACTATCCTATTATGATTAGATAGACCGTGTTCATTTTATAGAGATATTAGATAGAGAGATCTTTGGTACTCGGTTTTATCTGCTAACTCCGCAAGGTGCTTGATGTATAATATTTATGAAAATAGTCGGAACTTTATATACATTTACGACTAAAGAGTAAATTAACTCTTCGGTCGTAAAATTGAATAAAGAATTTGTATAAATAGATCAATGAATGTGGAGGCAAAAGAGGTCTGTTTTTTTTTATGGGTGATAATGGAATGGTAACCCCACCCGTGCTATCGGTATACACCGGCGGGGCACCAGTGAAGTATGATAGGTGAGGATGAAGCAGGTCAGTTAGCCCATCGTGACGAATTCAATAAGAATTGTTCACGATGGTTTCCAGGGGGAACCACGTGAAGGTCGACCTAATAGGGCATATTGGGCATATGGCTGTCAAACTCCATTGCTAACAATCCCTTTCTCCCCAAAGAGGTCTGTTTGAATAGGAACAGTTGGCATTCTATTCTGACTACTCCTGTAGAAGGTAGACGTTATATATATGTGTTTTGTTATTATCTCTATTAAAAAGTGTTTGGAGTTGTTTGTGATCAAATGCTTATATTTGAACTCTTTAAATTACGGGATATACTACAATAGTGAACGAAAGCGGAAATTCAATTAAAATAACCGTACATTTGTCAGTAACTTAATTCACATGTTAAGAATAAATTACCGGTTTCTATTCTTTAAACAGGGGCCTTTGAAGGGCCTACAGGCTTGTTACGCCCTTTGAATTTACAATGAGTGGAAATTAGAGCATCAAGGTTTGCCTTTTGAAATCATTCAGTACCTTGAGCGACATGGTATCGAGGCCGGCTCGGCCTTAAACATCGCCTTCAAATTATACCTATGTGAGCCCTTCTAATGATCAGATCGATTGCGACATTGACTTTTGCGAGTTTTCTGCCAGCCTTATATAAATTGAAAATAAATAAATAGATGAGTTTTCAAGTTGCCTAAAATTCACCGTTGTTAATTTATTCTACTACTAGTCTTTACTCAAAAGTGGCCTATGTTGTCTATCTTTACGCCAAGTCCCTCTTGAGGTGGGCAGAAAGAACAGAGTGCCAAAATACCGCTATCGTTACATACGTCTCTTGCTTCCTGGACATTCAGAACTCGTCTCATTCATGCTAGCCTGTTCCGGTGACTCTTGACTCTTCCCTCAATAAAAACACGGTCTATCTATTAATAATATAATTATAATAATAGTAGTAACTCTCTTTTTAAGTAATCTTACCACGATATGTCTATATATAGGTACATGCTCATATATCTCCGTAAAAGTGTGCCAATGGAAAGCGCGAGAGAATCCCGAGAAATCTATGCGCTAATGCGGCTGCGTACTCCCCACTTTCTAAACTGGCTAGACTTACTATTTAGGGCTGCCAGATACTTTTCCGGAATTAACTGCTTGAAAGGTTTCCAGCTTTAATGTCAGAAAAGTGTACGGTTTCTCTGGTAGTTAATTACTAAAACATATTTGATATATTAGTACATTTATTTATTAATTTAAATAACAGTGTTGATTAAATAAAAATATGATACAAAAGGCTAACTTAATATCAGTAGCATTTTCTACCAGTACATATTTGATCCCATGAATTTAAATAGTGTATTAGTTTAAAATAATAAGAATAAAATATGGTCCAGTCTCATAAATAAATTTCAGAATACCACAATGGACGTTTTGAAACCAATAGCAATACGATAGGATTGTTTAAACATGTATGTTTTATTAAAAAAAAAAAAAGGATTTATGAAATAACAGTTTTAGTCATAATTATCGATTAATATGATGCGGTAACCCTAGCTTTGTTTATAGTTCGGGAAATGGCTGTCGCCTCGTAGGGAAGTACTAACACTTCCTTATTCTCGAAGCTAATCTATTATTTAGATACGATTATAATCTTTCTAAACAGTTTCTTATTTTACGTTTGTCAGTTATATACATCGTTAGTGAATATAACATCATAATTAGTTATGAAGTAAAGATGTTATTAAGAACATAACTGATATTAAGGTTTGCGGAACACAAACATAAATTAATTAAAATGCAGGGATAAATAATATACATATAGATGGAGTTATACATATAGATGAAGTCATACGTACATATGGAGCAATCATCCAACTGTTTGAATGGTTTTTCCATAAAGTACAAATATGTTTAAATATTTTATTATAATAAATTTAATATTCACAATTATTGAATGTGATAAAAGTCACCAATTAAATGCTTAATACAATTATGCGTCGATAAAAAAAAAACAGACTATTTTTGTCGAAGTATTTCTAGAGTGATATCCCATCTAGATGCCATGCCGACCATTGGCTGCTTTATAATTCATTGTAGCATGTCACGGTATGAATTTATCGCCAAGTCACTATATAACTGGGAAGCAATATACCTTTTCTATTAAAATATCTTAAAATTCCTGTTTTTTTTTTCAGGATATAGTAATAAAACAATGAATATTATAGGCTATTTTTTATTGTTTTCTTTTTAATGTATGCGAATGGACTGGTAATCCCACTATCGATATATGCTGGCGGTGTATCAGTGAGATTGAGACTGTATTAATAACATCAACAATAAAAAAAAAATAACGTACCGAAAAGAAAGTCTACAAGAAACAAACTGATCACAGGTTTTCATCAAAAAATCGTAGTGATAAAAAAATCCGTAAATCGTCATTAATTATACTGAGATTGACAATGAAGGTCATTTTCAGATAGGTCATTATCGAAAGTAAAGACTTGCAGTCTTTTGTTGAGGTTTAATGGATACTGTCATTACTATACCACCTTATTTGGCTTTTGCATTTATTAAGTGGCCACCCGTTAATTCTGTACATCACTGTTCTGTTACTATGTATCTTAATGGATTCATTTACTTGGCAGAATAATTTATTATATTTATTGATTATTCGGAAATTATGGCATTGAATGTATACAAAGGTTCAGTGCTAGTACACACTACGAGATACAGCTTGGCTTATAATTATTATAAATGCCAACAAAGTGATACTTTATTGTAACACTTAGGATCCTTTATTAGAATCAATAAAAAACAAAGTCACTGTTAGTATCTGAGTGTTGTCCGCTTACGTATTTCGATATTATACCATTATACCATGCGAAGCAAGGGCAGGCCATTAGCATGTCTTTAATTTAGTACTATTATAAAATATAAATTATTTGCAAAAAAGTTTAAATGTGCGCTACTCAAATATTGTGTTGTGATAACAGCGAAAGTTGACACATGTCTCTAGACTACTCCATCTGTATTAATTCTCGTGAGAGTGGATACAACTGTTTCACGGTAGAAATACGAATGGGATAAAGGTGCCCAAGCAAACGACTTTTATAGAAAGTCTCCTTTGGGATTGTATTGGAATTGTCTATATAATAATTTAAATAATACTTTATAGTTTTGTATACCTAATGAGATTGATCATAGAAGACTTATGTAATGTCCTTTTATTATCAATTTAATTGTTAATTATTCTTGCTTCCTTTCTAATATTATCAATGTGAAAGGGGGTTTGTTTTTTTACCTTATAGTATCATAAAGGTTTAACCAATCACTATGTAATTTTTTTTATGGGTGAAAATGGTATGGTAACTCCGCCTACGCTAACGGGATACGCTGGCGGAGCACCAATGAAGGGTGATAGATGAGAATGAAAACAGGTCAGTTAGCCCATCATGATGAATTCATCAGGAAATAACCATGATAGTTTTCAAGGAGAACCGCGAGGAGGTCGACCTTAGGTATATTGCTAGCAATGGGATTCTCAGGCTCCATTACTAACAATCCCTTTCTCCTCATCACTATGTCATTTTCTATACACGTACTATATAAGATGGAGAAGGATATAGGCTACTTTTTATTCCGGTCAGTAAACATGTCTCGGTCACATGGACGAAGTCACGGGTAAAAGCTAGTACCAAATAAATGATTAATTGATTTATTTATTCGCAATTGTTTATATGTATCTCTTGTTTTATTGCAGTAGGTGAAATCGACCAGTACTTATGGCTGGTTGGTGGGACGACGGGTGCGCTGGCGTTGACTGGTGTTGTTGCAGCATCCGCCTTCTACCTCAGCTACAGGCCGAGGCCGGAGAAGCCGCTTGTAACATTACACGAACAGAGCCTCCTTGAGCCGGTGAGTCCAAGATCTCATTGATAACTCCTCACTTAGTCTTCGTACTTAAGTTCATATATCGATTTTTTTTTGTCTTCTTTTTCTTCATTTCATACCCTTTTATGCGTGTATAGCCAATTTTTTTTATTTCCCCAACATTCTGTTTAATAACACTATTATCTATTTTCTTTACTGAAAATATTTTAAAATTTCTACTAGAATCCACATAACACAATTGATTGTTAGGAGATTGCTAGTGTTATAGGTTTAGTTTGATATCGCCCACTGACAATAATAAAAGAAAATATCGTTCTAACACTAAATGACGATTGCCAGTTTTCATGTTTCTAGAGTTCTAGACTCTAGTAAACTTCCAATAGTTCTATAAATATAGTCTGTAGGTGTTTTTAATATTTTCTTAATATTACAGACTGGAATCGGCTAAATTAAAAACTATTTAGTAAATTAGTATTTTACGAAACAAATTAAACATTTTTACATGTAATTTATTAATGATTTTTTTATTAAACAATTTACAAAAACTAAGTTAAAGATATTGTATTTTATATTATATTACATTATCAAGACCTCTCTTCCTTAAAGATGCTGTTTTATACCATGTACTGAATATAGGTATAACAAATTGCATTAAGTCAGAACTTACTCGTATGTTTTGATAGGAATAAAAATTTTTGATAATAAAAATATTGATTAAATAGTCTTTATTACAAACAACACTAGTAATTGTTAGGTTAATGTCCTACATTATAATCGTTTAATCCCCTAAAATATCTATATCTGTGCCTATATACACAGACAAGAACATCATGTGGCCACTTGAGTTTCGACACTCGACAACAATTTCGTTACATCATTGCGAATGTATCATTGATAATGCCTGCGTATAATAATAGGAAGTCTGCAGACTACCGATTTTTCGGGTGTTGACCGATAACACATTTCCTTTGTCATCAAATAAACTCGGGTTAATCGACTGATTAGATAAATAAATGTAATTTTAGTATTACAGGAAAATATCAATATATGCTACTATTGAAACTGTCTTATAAATAAATAACAAAATATAAGATATATATATATATCATACTATGATAATGAATTATATTATGACGGTTGCCGGGGCAAAGGATGCTTATTATATTTTCAGTTTAGATACTTGGTGGCAAATTTAGTACCATCAACATTCTTCTACATTTCGAATCTAAAAATATTTTAAAACTTTTTAGTGTTACATACCGCTATTTCGATTTAAGTACGCATGCTATGAAATATTATATTAAATAAAATAAAAATTTCGTGAAAAAAAAAATTAAGACCTAAAGAATATTTTGAGTCTCCTAAACTAATATAATAGTTGAACGCGCTATGCTACTGTGAGAGGGTAAAAATTTTCTATCGTTTCTTTGGTTTATTCGGTGAAAATATTAAGTTTCGGTGGTGAAATACTTCCTTAAACGGATGCTACCGATTTTAGTTATACCATGTGTACAAAAGTATCACGTGACCAAAAATAGAATTGTAATGAAAGGGAAATTCCTATGGATTCTCTCCTTGTATCAAAGATCAAGTTGTCCTAATTCAAACTGCCGCCGTTCTAGAGTTGGCAAAGCGCATCTTCGAGCGATATTTTTAACTCATTGTACCACTGGCAGCCCTGGCCGCTGCTCCTGTCACTACTTCAAAATTCAACGAAAGTGATGGGACAGTAAACCTATGCCAACCGAATATAAGTCTTAGACGACTTTATTAACTTAGGACTTATTCGGAAGTGAATGGTGTTACAGTGAAAATATTAAATAAAAAAAATTGTATTGACAACTATGATTGCGCAATGTGACAAAGCTTGAACAAATTTGAAAATAAACGGTGCATTACGTAGTGTAATAACAGTTAATTAATAAGGATGGCGTGTTGTGACTGCTGTATCGGCGTCGCTCCGATCAGACCTCCAATAAACTTGAATGAACAATCGGAATCTCTTAAAGTAAGTTATGTTAATAAGAACCGTTATTGACAATGTTGTACCGTATCCAAGGGCAGGATATTATAATATTTATTTTTATAGAGTTATAACTCTTCAATGTATAATGTTAGAATGAAAATGAAATTAATAACAAAAAAAATATTCATAATAAAATATAGCAGAACTAAAGTAAAAAATAATTCACTAGTCTAGTAAATTATTTCATTTTTAGAATATTAAAAAAAATGGTTTAATATTTTAATCATACAGCTGCTAGACATCATAAGAGAGGTCGAAATATTATCAGTCTGCAGCTCACAAGCTGATGATAGTTGGCAGAGATCCGTAACATTTAGATTCGCAACATTTAGGCCCACTGTCGAAGAATCATGTGCTAATGATTAGAAATAGCAACAGGAGACAATTCTTGTTACAAGATAAATTTCAAGACATAGTAAATGTCAATTAATTTTGTCTTGAAATCTATTTAATATTCTGTTACGAATGTCCTTACTTCTTTATAATTATTATGATAAAAACAATAAAATAAAATACTCTGTAACGGAGACTATACCAGCATTTATCTTTAGACTTGATCGACAAAGCCTCGACACTATAATGGATAGGTAGTGTATAGTTATTTATTTACCAAGTAATACTCTTTTTGTTCTCTTTATTTTTTACTTTGTATTTGATTTATGACTATTGTTGACAGACAAAATGTAATAAATTATATTTTCTGTCACGACTCGCGCACTTACGTAAATAGTTATACCACTATTTCAGGTATTCCTGTACCCTTAGTTTATTTAAATTGAGCAAACATTTAGATATTGTTATACTCAGTAATAAAAAAAGATATATCAGTTAATTGAAATATTACGGTTCATTCTATTCTTAGTTAAAAATAAAGAATTTTAATAAAATCAACTTCACTTATATACATAAGTGAAGTTAATTTTATTAAAAAATAGTATAAAGTTATTAAGTTTTTAATAACTATATCTATATAAAGACTCCCAATATTTTTCCTATTTTTGTTCAGATTTTCACTACGTTGATCTTATGACAATATGTACATACTGTCTATATAAAGTACATTTTGTTTAACAAAATCATAATTATCACCGCATCTTACTGTCAACAAAGTATTATACTTGAGTTAATGCTAACAATACGCTTCGGTTATTTGCATATAAACTTTTATGTATTTTCTCTAAGGCGTGGCCAATGCGACTACGCTTATTATACTCGTATGAGAAAATAGCTAGACTAGTAAAATTTAAACATAAAATTTATTTACTGGGAATGACATGTTCAGACTGTGACACAAAACGAACGCAAAGTATTTAGCGTTCAACATTGCTTTCCTAACGTCTAAAGAAAACATTGTCGTAAATCAAGATTAACTCTAAATATATTATGGTGCCTCTCCACCTACTGAACAGTGGCTGAGCTGTCATTCAACTAAAGTGATACGGAAGGGTTGCTTTAATTTAATGTGGAATTCTTTTCACAACTGGTCATGGAACTGAATTGAAAACTTTCAGAGTAGATGTATCTAAGAAGATATGAAATTACGTATTATTTTGAGTGATAATTAGCATAGTTCTATTTGTGCGTATCCTCTAGATAAAATTAACAAAATACAAAAAAAAAAAATTCGGTTGTGTTACAATAATATTATAAAGATTATGAAAGGGAAAGAAACAAGGGATGAATGTAAGACAAGGGAACATTGTCATTTTCGTCATAAAGATGGCATGCAATTTTTATTTATGTATATGTTAATGTTTCGTTACATTAATTACAGGGCATTTAAATAATAACATTATTGTTTCAGTGAATATTTATTAACTTTTAATGAGTCACAGTCTCTTCATCTCGTTTAAATAATATATTTATTATTTAATATATAAGTTTGGTAAAGAGGTTTATATTAATATTTTTGAGGCGCTGATTACTAGTTTTGAGGAATATTATTCATGAATAGAATTAGATGAAGGTTAGTTAGGGATACAGTTGTTAGAACATTTATTCAGTAAATAAACACATAATAATATACATAGTCTTGTTATTGTTATATGTATGAAGTACCTACATAAATTGATACAAATATAAATTGCTATGTTTAACTAGTATTCACAATTTGCCTTTGAATTTGACACTAAATATAAACCAATTACGATTATTAATTTCAAGATTCAGCAAAGCTGCAGAGTGTTAATATTAACATCGCATTATGTAAGCTTAGTATAAATAACTACAATCTCATGAATTATGAGTATGTTGCTAATAAAATTGTAGATATATATATATCTTTGAGGCATATTTGCTGTATCTAATGTTTGAAAATATTCTTTAGATATCATTTGTAAGAGTTATATTAGATTGTTAATTACTACTAGCTCTTATCTAGTAGTAATCAACTTAACAATCTAATATTTTTAATCATTTTGTAACCTTTAAACGGCGATTAAATCGCTTGAAAAATTTAGTAAGTATATTAAAGAATTAAAATTTTACTTATTGCAATATGTTTTTTTGTTTACAAAATACTCATAAATATTTACTAGTTTTTTTAACATCTATGAAAACATTAATACAAGAATTTATGAGTTTATAATTATATAATTAAATATCCAATAAACAAGGAGAGTTAAAAGAGGTTTCTCACTTAATGACTGAATTAGCTGAGCAGTGAAAAAAACCTACAGAAAATTAACGCTACTTTGTAGCAATGTAATCTTGTACTATAAGAATTCTATAGACGATTAAGCGACTTGAATCAAGCACGTAGCATGAATGATTGTCCATAATATAAGTTACTACGTGCTTGTTGCACGCTTGATAAAAAATATCCTTTTAGATCTAAATGTATCCAACGTTTGCAGTAAGAAAAGAGATTTTTTTTTAATATTGTACAAAAATCTTTTAGTAAAATAAAATATATTATATACAATACATAAAATAACAAATGCACTGGAAATTCTGGACCCAAAAATTACAAAAAAAAAAAATTATTTAATAACTTAAT